CTTTTTTTTCAACTATTGGAATGGGTGGTTTGTATCTGAATGATGTGATTTGTATGTTGAGTGTATCAGCTGGTGTGTCTTTGCACTTCTCAGTCTGATTTAACAGCTAAACAGAGCAGTGAGCACAGGCCAGCCCAGCAAAAGCTCACTCACTTTTCTTTAAGAGATACCAGGGCTGCATGACATGGATAAAATACTGGCATTTTATAATAATATATAATTATTATATTGCTACATACACTGATCAGGCATAACATTATGACCACCTCCTTATTTCTACGCTCATTGTCCATTTTATCAGCTTCACTTACTATATAGGTGCGCTTTGTAGTTCTACAATTACAGACTGTAGTCTATCTATTTCTCTGCATACTTTGTTAGCCCCCTTTTACCCTGTTCTTCAGTGGTCAGGACCCCCATGGACCCTCACAGAGCAGGTACTATTTGGGTGGTGGATCATTCTCAGCACTGCAGTAACACTGATGTCGTGGTGGTGTGTTAGTGTGTGTTGCGCTGGTACGAGTGGATGAGACACACAGTCTGTAATTGTAGAACTACAAAGTGCACCTATATAGGAAGTGGAGCAGATAGAATGGACAATGAGCATAGAAACAAGGAGGTGGTCATAATGTTATGCATGATCTGTGTACTGTGATTCGGTGCTGTCGGAACAAAACCTTGAATCTCCATTTTTGTCATTTTTCAGTTTTTGACATAATTCGAAAGTGCCTTTTGCTCTTAATATTTTGTGTAAATTTCATAATAAATGGGCCAAAAGAAATGGCCCAAAAATACTTAGAAAAAAAAGTCTGGTTCCACTGACTTACATTAAAGTAAAGTATGTTTTTTCTGTCTCCTATAAAATTACCATTTTGAAGTTTTTCTTCCGACAACAGTAAATTACTATATGCCTTGCAATATATTAAAACACATTGCTAAAGCAATAATGTGACATGGGAGGAACAGTACTTTTTAGCAGAATTTGCTGCATCATGCCAAAACATTGTCAAAGCCCTTTCAGATAAAAGAGCAGGGGAAAGACATGGGTCAATTATGTCATTGATCCTGCATTAAACAGAGAGAGCTCATGAAAGCAAGACCCACAAAAGTCACAGTGTGCTGTGTATTAAGTGCAAAAGTGGAGGACGTGTTCCAGCGCAGCACAACGTGAGGAACATTTATAGTGACGTTAAGTAGTGTAGTAAAATCAATGCCATAGTAAGGTAATAATTTAGTAATGAAATGGTAAGACTCCAGACTAACACTGCTCAGTCTTCCTAGGGAAGATAAAAAATGGTTATGCTAATATGACGCGAAATCTATTATGGGACGCTTTCAGGATGATGTATACAGTGATAAAATTCCAAGTGTGCCAGTCGTTCATATTAGGCATAAACATAGCAATGTGTAATGCTTACACCATTAGCGAATGATGTACAACATGTTATAGAATCAAGAAAATAAGAAAACTTAAAAATAGCCACTAATAAATACAAAAGAAATGTACTTATTATTTTATTAAGTGGCTTAAAAGCTTTCTTTTTTTAACTCTATATTTTCTTGTAATCAACAATATTTTTGGTTTAGCAATCAACTGAGAAATGCATTTAACGGTAATGTAACCAAAAGTAGTTTAATATTTGGGACGAAGAATTTTTCACATTCAGGTTTCATTTGGGCATTTCATTTGGTATTTAGAGTCTCATTAAAAAGGACAAAAAAGGACATTAAAAGGCTGATCTGCATTTTAGATCTGCATTTTGTATCTTAAATATAGTTAGTGTTATCAAAGCTTTTAATTGCCTGTTTCAGTTATTAAAACTGTACTGGTCTGGCTGCACCATTTGACTTACTGGTTGTGCCACCTGACTTTTCAGACTCATTTCAAATTCAGCAAGCATCAAACCTTTGTCCTTGAACTTGTTTATACTTATTTACTTACTTTTACTTAACTTACTTTTTTCAAATAAATAAAAAATGATTGTAACAATTGCACATTTTCATAGTTTTTCTGAGGTCATGCTGCCTGACATGGTAAACTGAACCATTTTAACCAAAGCTACTCACCTTGGCATTGCACCATGAAGGTCACTTGGGATCTTATTTATGATGCAATGCCCTTGCCCCTCTTTCATTAAAGCGTGCCAAAATAAAAGTCCTTGTTTTTTGTTTTTTTTTTTTTGTTGTGAAGCCTGACATTTGAGCAAGAAAGAACTTGTGGGCAGAAGTTTTTCAGTGAGTTGAGTGCTTTTAAAGTTGCCTTATTTTGCAACGTGCATTTGATTTAAAAAAAAAATTAAATATTTCAAATATAGTCATGCTAAACTATTTTATTTCAAATTTTACATATCACCTTTTTTATTTACTCAACATATATGGATGGTTGCACCACCTGATGTTTTTAGACTTTCGGAAGCAAAAAGAAACTAAAATGAATTTTATGTGGGTGCATTGAAAATTGTTTTACATAAGAGGTATTTTTGAATAATATGATATACATTGTGTCATGTATTTTATTACATTCTTTTTTGGGGAAAATAATAGACTTTGACCCACAATGTGCATGTCATGTCAATGACCCAGATATAGATGGGTTTCTGTTTGCCCCCTTTCTGCTCACCACTCATTAATTCATGCTTTAGGAGAGCAGATGTCAGAGACTTAATGAGACTTACTTAATGTCACTAACTTGCATTATGATCCAAGAAAAACTTATCAAGCGCATGTTAAATGTTTAAAAATGACGGTTGGTTGCTCTCCCTCAGCAGTAGTGTTGACTTTGGTGAAATTACCTAGCCAAAGTTAACTGACTTGCTTTCCAAAGATTTGAAAGATGCAATACATGATTGAGTGAAGCATTCCTCAAATTAACCAATGTACGAGTCCCGCCTTTTGATCTGAAAACTATATATGAGTGATGTGTATGTCTATCTGGGATGGAAAAACGGTAATGCTAATATTGTTAGTGTATATTATAGTGCATTTCCATCCACCTGTCAAAATTAAGTTTGGTCCTTGCATTTTAGTAATGAATGGCTGGTCAGTAAAATACAGTGTTCAGGATCAGGTCTAGCTTATAGGGCTTTTTGTCAAGAAGACCAACATATTCAGTTTTTCTAGCATTAATGTTGAATATGCAAGACTGCCAGTTAATAGTTTTAATTGTGTTATGTGCACATGGGTATTTGGTAGCTTTTGATTGGTCGAACTCATACAGACAGTCCACTGACTTGTTGTCCTAAAATTGAATATAGCCTTAAAAGAACCACTGTGCAAAAACCAACCAGGTTACTTTGCAGTGAATCTCAGAACTGCGTTTCTTCCACCCCAAACCCTCTTTTTATAAATAGTTCTTTTCACATACATTTCGATAATGTTTGGCTCTAAGTCTGACTTGTAGATGGCTTTTTGTCATCATTAAACATGCGCATGCAAATAATAGGCAGTCTCTGATTGCTGTTTTAATGCAATAATAATATTGTTAGTCAATACTGTCATCATTACAATAATATAGAAAATGGACAAACGTGCTGATGATTTCTAACTTTAGGATATCTGCTAATACTGTATTGTAGCTATGCAGTGTACATTTGTTCATTTCTATAGATAACAGTACGTCATGCAGTGTCAGAATTAGGGGTGCAACGATTAATTGACTTATTTGACTAAAATCGATTAGTTGGCAACGGAATGCCAAATTTGTTTTTGCAAAAGTTGCAATGGAATGTTTACACAAAATTGTTCAAATTGAACTGTTCATAGAGATCAAGTTTGCCACAAACGTTTACCACTGCTTGACGAATTTGAACGGAACTCACGTTTATGGCTGGAGATGGAGTGTTGCCCATACATAAACATACATAGATGCTGTGTTGGGTTCAGCCAGCCACGTCAACGACACCGCCATTTTGGGCCATCAACATCGCTGCTGGCCTGTATTCAGTAGCATTACAGAGCGGCATTTTAAGAAAGGTATTGTTATTAATTAAAGGTAATTATACTATTTCAAGAATATTGCACTCAGAAAGTGGGATAGTGTTATATAACAGAGGAACGCAGCGCATCCACACTCATGTTTGTGTGATGTATATTGTTTGTGTGATTGTTAATGTGTAGATAATGGCCGTGTGGTTGGCAAAGCTCAGAGAACCTATTGGTGTGATTAAGGGAATACTGACTTAGTTTTGTTGCATTTTATTGCTGCTACTTTGCATATTCTTGATTTTAAAGTTTGACAGGAATAATCTATTGTTTTAATTTGTCTTTTGTATTAGCAGGATAGTTCATTAAAACAGTGAATTTTTAAATAAGGTATTCATCTGTATTGTCTTCATTGTAAGTTAGCAAATGCATAAAACAACCTCAAGCTAAATTTAAATGTTGATGGCTACATTAGAGGTATTTGGTAATTAAGCAGTTCGTAATACGAATAATCAGTTATTTGTTGTGTCAATAGATTATTCGACTATCAAAATAGTCATTTGTTGCAGCCCTAATCAGAAACCACATGAGTCTATGCCAAACTGTTCCTTTAAGCACTGTCACTCTCAACTGAATATAAAGATTGAAAGATTTGTTGTAATGTTTGCCTCCTTAAACTGGATATGAGGTTTGAAAACTCTTAAAAGAAGCTGCAGCATCAAGCTGAGAGGGTACACATGGAGTCATTGGGCATATGGTGAACAACCAGTCTACAAACAGCCAGCCCACAGTCTTTCTGCTTCTTTATCTTTAGAGATAGAGAATGAATTCCAACAGCATTTTCCACTCCCACACAGCTATGACTCTTCCAGTAAAAGTCGTGCTATCCAGATTGTGCTCATCATATGATTTATTTGAATATATATATATTTTTTTGCTACTTTGATGTCTCCAGCTCTGGAGTGACTCGTGAAACTAGCGGCTAGTGTGGCTGCATTCTGGAACACTGATGGTGCTGCTTTGCTGACCGTCTTCTCTGAAATCAAGTGTTTTATTTTTCCCCTTCTTTTATGTCATAGCTGTCATGACGGGGGTGGGAGCAGAAGATGACATCCCACTTGGTGAGAGGAAAACTGTCACAGACTTCTGCTATCTCCTAGATAAGTCCAAGCAGCTTTTCAACGGCTTGAGGTCAGTTTCGTCTTTACGTCGGTGACTTAAGGTGTAGCTCAGTTTTCTATTCAAATTTCTTCTGGCCAAATGAGGCTTTAACTGCTGCAACTAATTATTATTTCTTTAATTGATTAATCTGTGAGAACTTTAATCAGGCCTGAGTGACCAAATGTGGCTTGACAAAATTCTGTCTAAACCCAACCTGACCAAAAGCATTGAATTGAGAGAACCAGATTGAGCCCAAAAAAATTAAAACCAAATTTAAAAAGTATGCAAATAAAAAAAAATATGCAATTAATTGGCAAATGGACCAATTGTACCTTCTGCACTTTCCTCTTATATCATTCAAAGTTCTGTATATGCAACAAGTGATTTTTTTCTTTGATGGTGCAACAAAACCGTAGAGGCTATATTGGCCAATAGGTCAATGCATCCTGTAGTGTATTGTATGTAATCTGTTAGAATCACTTTATTTATCAAATGAGTATTACATGACATTAAAATAATGGTTTAACAAAAGGTCAACTTTCCTTAATCTTTTTCTCTCCATTTTTTTTTTTTTGCTGTATTATTCCTTTAAAGAGTGTTTTGTTTTTAAGTAAATGATCCATCAATGAGACAACTTTTTTCCATAATTAATGTCAGCAAACAGTCCCTAAACTTAACTGAGGATCACTTAGCCTCACTTTTTCTGTCTCTCTCACTCTTTATCTCTCTCTCGCTCTGGTGTTAAATCTCTTGTAAGAAATCTCATGTAGTTTCTCTTTTCATGTTTAGAGAATAGCTCTTTTAGTCATAGAAAATGAACACTAATTACGGGTCCAAGCACTGTAGCACTGCATGGAACCCTATTGCTTTTGCTAGGATTGAAATTGTTTGGATTTTTCTTCTTTTTTTCCTGGAAAAGATGTTTACGTTATACCGTAAGTTATACAGACACCAAACTTGGAGGGTACGTGTAGTTTGTGTGCATCTAGCCAGGCAGTTAGAGACCCCAATTGCTCTGATGGTGGTGCTGTAGAGCAACATTTTACGTTTTGGTCAATATCTCCTAAACCATGAGACATACAGTCAAAGTTCTTTTTTCCTCTGAATCTTTGGATAATTCCACAAAAGCACCTCACTGGGTCTGTGTTTAACTCTGCCCCAAAATTTGCAAAATATAAAAAAAACAACTTTTTAAACAAGTCTGAGACTTTTCATGATATCCTCACAATAAAGGTGTTAATGTTTGTGAATAATATGGCCTCCATGTGCAGATTAAGGCCTTCAGGGTGGAGCTTACTTCAAAAGAGTGGCTACAGATTGAGATCACTGACCAATTCTCTTGAAACTTAATAGTCTTATCCCCACATGATTTTGAGGAAGCTCTCCATGGTTGACACCATTTATTCAATGAGGGTGCTATAATATTCAGAAAACCTTTTCAGCAACTGCTTGTACAGTTGAGCTAAAACTTTGCATGCTGCATCTATTAGCCTCTTTTTAAATGAGGTCAATATGGCCACCATTGTCCTATAAGCTTTCAACAGGCATTTGGAGGGCATGGCATTGGCCAGTCATTGTGAAAATTGAATGTTGTGTCCACGTAAGCACTCTCTAATAACATATTTAAATTTGACCATAATTGGCCAACAGGTGGTGCTATTCATTCAATGTAGTAATGTTAAATTTGTCTTGGTTAAAAATAAATCACTTCAAATCATTCTTTACACTGAGACTAATTTTCAAATACAGATCTACAAGTTTGAAAAATTTGCTTTTCAAACTAGTCTGTAGATTTTTAGCAAATCGTCTCAAACCAGCCTGTCATTGGACTGAAATATGGAGACTATCCAATAATAACCAATGACTACTGTTAGAGGCCTATTAGAGTAACAACAAGAAATAGATCAATAAAAATCAGTCCTTGTTACCAGTGAAAACCAGTGACTATTTTTAGGAGCAAATTACAGTGGGAAGAAAAAACAAAAAACATGAATGTCAGTGACTACTGTTAGAAGCCTGCAGTGATGATCTGTTAGTATGAAAATAAGAAAAGCTCAGAGTACTTTGAGACGGGGAAGCAATGTCTATGATTAAATAGTTTGTGAGGCAGTTGAAGCAGTGTCTGTTATTAAATAGTTTAAATCTGTGCTGCAGCAGTATCATCAGGAGAGTCAGTGGAATGCAGGTGAGGCACAACATTCCTTGATGGTTAAACTAGTTCAGAAGGCAGATGAGCAAGGGCACCCAATCAAGGCAGATGAAGCAACAGCTTCAGACCGCACAGGATGGTTGGTTGTTCAGCTCGGCAAAGAGGCACGCAGTTTTAATAGGAGTGACTGAGAACAGTACAAGACAGTGCATTTTTTAGTTTGGCAGTGTTACAAAGATGAAGGAAAGCTCTTCTAGTAATATTGTTTATATGTATATTGAAGGACAGATGAGGATTGATCGTGACATCAAGATTTTTACAGATCTACCGGGTGCAACTGAGAAGTTATTAAGATTAAGTGTTAATTTAGAGAGTTTGTTTCTAGCAGCTTTTGGACCAAAAAGAAGAACCTCTGTTTTGTCAGAGTAGAGTGGGAGGAAGTTACTTGACGTCCAATGTCTTGTGACTTTTATGCAGTCCTCAGTCTTATTAAGATGGAATTTATCATCTAGTTTGGCTGATACAACTGTATGTCATCAGCGTTGCAGTGGAAATTTATGCCAAGTTTATTGATGACTGTACCCAGTGGTAGCATGTATAATGTAAATAATAGAGATCCTAAAACAAAGCCTTGTGGAACATCAACACACACTTTTGTAAGAACAGATGATTTGCTGTTTACATCCACAAACTGATAGCAATCACTCAGGTAAGATATGAACCAAGAAAGAGCTATTCCTGTTACTCCTACAAGGTTTTCTAGTCTATCTAGTAAGATAGAATGGTCTGTCATATCAAATGCTGCTCTAAGATCAAGCACAACCGGCAAAGATATGTGTCTTTGGTCAGAGAATAACAAGAGATTGTTTACAATTTTCACTAGTGCTGTCTCTGTACTGTAATGAGCTGTAAATCCAGATGGAAATTTTTCATGTATGTGATTCCTATGCAGGTGGGAAATTAGTTGTTGTGCCACAGCTTTTTCTACAATCTTTGATATAAACGGAAGTTTTGTGATAGGTCTATAAATTGATAGCTCGCAGGGATAAAGATTACACTACTTAATTCGAGGTTAAATTACTGCTGGATTAAGCATTTTTGGTGTATAGCCAAAGCTACGAGAGAAGTTTGTTATTAATAGAAGAGGCTTGGTTATTACTGGCAACATTGCTTTAAGCGAACTTAGATCTAATAAGCAAGTAGAATATTTTGAGGAGGAAATAATTGTAACTAGCTCAGTTTGTTGAAGTAAGGTAAAGGATTCCAACTGCAGTAGTTACAGTATGCTCAAGATCTGGATTAGCTTTGTAGGACAGCAGGTTTATAGCAGGTTAACTGTGTATCTTGAATTTTTTGCCTGATTGTTTAAATTTTATTATTGAAAAAAAAATATTTTTAATTATTTTCAGGGTGTGCTAAATAATAATCTAGAATTATTATTATTTTCAAACAAAAATGAGAGATAGGTTGACTGTGCTGTAGTAAGTGCCCTTCTTTAGTCTTTAAGTTTGTCTTTCCAGGCAGAGTGGAACACTTCTAGCTTAATCAGGCACCATTTACACTCACAGGTACACACTTAAAGTTTGAGTTACAGTACGCTTAACACTATAGCGTGGCGATGGACAAATATTACGATTAAAACAAATTATTAGATTAGGTAATAATCTGAGACTCCTGTGCTCTAGGGGAAAATGGCTAAATGATCTATGTTTACACCAAAGGTCAAAATTAAATCAGTTGTGCTTGCAATAATGAGTGGGCCCCTTTATATTTTGAGTGAAACCAACAGAGTCTAAGAGAGATACAAATGCCTTACTTGGTGGATCCTGTGGTTTGTCAAGGTGGATATTAAAATCTCTGACAATTATTACTTTATTTGAGTGCGTTATTAAACTTGATCAAAAGTTTACAAATTCCTGTAGGAACTCAGAATAGGGCCCTGGTATTCATAGATAGTAATTAGTGAAAATTAATTCTTCTTTGTGACCTGATCATTTGTATTAAGAAAGAAAATTTGTAGCCTGCTTTCTAAATAGTTCCTAAAGGGATAATGGACAGATCTTGGCTTGTCACTTGTGGCTATATGTGAGGGTGTTTTCCTCTGTATCATTCCCTCACAGATGAGTTCTTCCTTGTCATATCTGTTCTTTTTATAGCACTTCTTCACATCTTTGCTGCAGGCTGTTTCTTTCTTTTTTTCTCTGTTGCTGACTTGCTCTATCCCTCCCCATCCCTGTTTACTGACCCATTCTTTATTTTATGAAATATGTGTGCGGTTAATGTCACTTGCTAAGATTTTCAAGCAATAGTTCTGAAGCTTGACTTTGAATATGTTTATTTTGCTGTACAGTTGTAGATTAATAGTTGTCCAAGCACCACAGGTGCTGGAACCCTATTGTTTGTGTTTGGTTTCTTCTTCTTTCAGTTATTATTCATCTCCAGTCAAATGGTATGGGGAACAGAAATTGTAACATGTAGAAACACCAAATTTAGAGGAAAGTACAGTATACCGCTTGCTACTCAGGCAAGTGAAAAGTGGCCCACTTTGCCCCAAATCTCTTGAAACTCTCCATATTCTCTCTTTAAGACAACAAATGCATCCCCTTAAAAATAAAAACAAATGCAAATCAACAAGATATGAGTAGAACAATTCAAAAACAGAAACAACTGGAAATGTTCTTGGTGGTTCCGAAAGTAAGGTCTTCATGCAGACCTTAAACAAGTCAACACCTCTTTTTTTTTGTCCTTTTAGGAGGGCCCTCCATTACTTGCCTTTAATGGCATCACCTATCAATCCCGACTAAATTACTTTGTATTATCCGACTAGGATAGTTTCCTCCTCTCTGCCTCATAAGCTTAGTATATTACAAGAAATAACAGA